AAAGCATATATATTACCTCTGAAGCTTCATGTTCTCGATGGACCAAATAAGTCCAAATGCAAAAATTGTAGTAGCCTTGTTATGGACACCACATTCTTGGATATGAAAGTTGATTTGGTCTGGTTCCCTTTTTGATAAGCATCACACAACTTATCTTTGACAAACTTTATCTTTGGCAAGACAATGACTAAATCATACTTTACTAATTTATTCAAATGCTTCATATGAATGTGAGCAAATCTTTTGTTCCATAACCATGAATCACAATTGTTTTCCATAAGATATTTAACCTTCAAAGATAAGTCATCAAGGGAAATCATAAAAATATTGTTAATTCTTCTACCTTTGAGTTTTACCTCATGAGTGACTTCGTCTTCTATCAAACATTCATCTTTGGTGAATTTGATTTTGAAGCCTTTGTCACAAAGTTGGCTTATACTCAGAAGATTGTACTTTAGTCCTTCAACGTAAAGTACATCTTCGATGGATGTGAAAGGTGGTGCTCTAACTTTACCTGTGCCAAGAATTCTTTCTTTGTTGTTGTCTCCATATGTAGCAAAACCCTTGGCCTTCAGCACTAGATGTGAAAATTTGTCTATATCCCTGGTCATATGCTTCGAACAACCACTATCAAGATACCAAAGATTTGAAGTGGTTTTCAAGCAAACCTACAAAACAAATTATTTCTTGTTAGGTACCCAAATTGCTTTGGGTCCTTCATAATTAATGTCTTTCTTAACCCACACATAATGCCCACTTGCTATACTAAAATTTCTAACATAGCAAGTATTAGGTGTATGGCCAATAATACCATAATAAAAACAAGTAGGAACGAAATTGCTCTTATATCTTGGAACATATAATTTCTTTTTAGGATATTGATGCACATTCTTCGGTTTGTTCACTTTCTCTTTAGAGGAGTTTTCTCTAGCCTTAACAAAGATTATTTTACTAGAACTTAGTTTTGAAAATTTTGAGTAACCAAGTCCACTCTTATCATTTGAATACCTTTGTTGGCTAAGGACCCCTTCTAATCCAACTTATCCTTTCTCATATCTTTCAAGGACTCTTTTTAGTTGAACAATTTGGAACGAAAGTGACTCACAATTTTTACTAACCAAGTCTTGTTTATCTTCACTAATTTTCTCTTGCTCCTTATATTTTGCTTCTTTTTCAAAAGAGTCAACTTTTTCTTCTAAGGATGTAATTTGTTTCTTTTGTGAAGATATTGTTTTACATGATTTTTTACATTCACTTAAAAGTTCATTTATGACATCCCGTGCATCATTATCATAAAGAGAAAATTCATTACTAACCTCATTATCTTCATCATCGGAGTTGTGGGTAGCCATCAATGCAAGACTTGAACTTTCGTCACTTTCCGATTCGAATGAGGAACTTATGTCATTGTCGTCCCATGCAACATATGTATTTTTGTTCTTTTATTCCTTCTTGCCTATGAATCCTCCTTTCTTTGACAACTTTGGACAATCGCGCTTTATGTGGCCTTGCTTACCACATTCGTAACAGGGAACCTCTTGTGTTGAAGTGGGAACCTCCTTTTTCTTGAAGTTTTTCTTTCTCTTAGCAAAATTAGCGTTCTTGTCATTTCTACCAAAGAATTTTTCGAGTCTTTTGACTAAGAGCATAAAGGTTTCATCTTCTTCTGGTGCATCATCATCTTAATCGTCTTTTAGGTTCACTTTCAATGCGATACCCTTGGACTTCTTTTCTTGATGCTCATGTTTCTCAAGCCGTCCAAGTTCTAATTCGTGTTCCTGGAGCTTTCCAAATAGAGATGTATAAGTCATTGTTGAAATACTTTTCTTTTTCGATATGGCTGTAACTTTTGGCTGCCAATCTCTTGTCAAGGATCTAAGAATATTGAGATTAAGTTCATCGTTTGAAAACGTCTTACCAAGTGTTATTAGGTGATTGGTCAATTGTACGAATCTTTTCTAGAGAGCAACTATGGATTCTCCAGGCTGCATTCTAAACATCTCATATTCCTGACATAATGTATTTAGTCTGGATCTTTTGACTTCAGTGGTTCCTTCATGAGTCTCCACCAAGGTATCCCAGATTTCCTTAGCCGATTTACATTGTGAAACACGAAAGAATTCGTCCATACTTAATGCACTTTGTAATATGTTGATCGCTTTCTTTTCATCAAGTATTCTCTTCTTATCATCTTCATCATATGAAATTTTGATCTTCGGAGTGCCAACACCATTGACAAAACTAACTAGTTGATGAGGACCATTTTCAATAGTTTCCCATATTCCTTCACCTTGAGCCTCTAAATGTGCTCTCATACGGATTTTCTAGAAGTCGAAATATTCTCCAGAAAATAGAGGAGGATTGTTACTGCTGCCTCCGTCTTTGAAAACCGGATTTGCGCTAGTGGAAGCCATGTTGGATCAATAGGAACAAGTTACTTATAACCTGCTCTGGTGCCAATTTTTGGTAAGATATGCACCTAAGAGGGGGTTGAATTAGGTACTTAGAAATTTTTCCGGATTTTTCGAAGGTTTCAAGTTTTACTTTCCTTAGAGATTACTAAGTGATGAAAGCTATAAAGGGTGGAAAGTAAAGAACACAATGATATATCTGGGTTCACCTCACAATCCTAGAGTACTCCAGTCCCCTTTCAACATGAAAGATATTTTTCAATAATGTTAGATCCTAAGACATGACTATCCTAGTCTTTCTATACAAGACTCTAACAATCACACCGAGAACAATCTTCTTGAATTTTACAATGAAGTTGAAATGAGAACAATCCTCTCAAACTCATCTCTCTTGCTTCCAACAATCCTGGGCAGTATGGAAATACAGCCTTACAATCTTAATTTCAACAATCCTGGAATTTAGATGTAACGAGCAACAATACTTAATTCTGATTTTGTTGGAGTGCTTTGAAGTTGATCTTTAAATATCAATCAAATGATTGATCTTCTTCTTGTACAAACAAACTTAACATAGGATACACAAATTTTCAATGATGGAAGAATGAAACTTAAAAGATTTGTATGAAAGTTCAAATGCAAGGTTTCACTCTTTTGAAATTTTCAGATTTTCACACTTGAAAATTTTGAGTTTGAATGATAATAAAAATTTGAATATTAAATTTCAAGAAGGTGAATCTCAAAATTTGAGATTATGAGGTTTTTATAGCCTCTAAACACCTTTACAAATGAGTGCCAATGATCAAGAGTTGCCATGGTTCAAGAGGAAAAGAAAATGAGAATTTCTGCCAAGAGTTGTAACATTTTGGCCTGTTGCGTCAGTGGTAATCGGTTACCAGCTTCAACGTTAGAAAAAATTTAAAAATCTCTTTAGGGTAATTGATTACCAGGATAGGTTAACCGATTACTCTAAATTAGTTTTGCCAAAAAAAACCCAAAAGCAGTGGCATAAAGGCTTTGAAAATGCAAAATATTTTTCCAATGAACATGCAAAGAATTGAGGAGAGTTTAGAACACTTGTATAGGCTATATGAAGATTGAATGTTATACCTTTGCCTTGTGTTAAAAACCGTCTTCAAGTATTCATCCAGTCTTGATTTAATTCTTTGACATTGAGGTATTTGATCTTGGTCTTGAACTCTTGAAATACTTTTAGCCATCCTTAAGCCGAGTATGTCGTCATCAAAATCGTCGAGAAGCCATGTCTTCACATTGTTCTCTAAGAGCATCTTTAGTGGGAGTAAACTAAATGGGTAAACTAAGATACTTTTTGTGGGTCCAAAGTGATTTGTAGGATTTAAAAAATTTATAGTTGATTTGAGTAGTTTTTACTTTAATGGTTGTTGTCTATAAGAAACTAAAACTTGACCCCACATTTTATATTTTTTATTCAAGTTACCATTAATTTAATTATTTTAATTAAAATACATATAATTTTTTAAATAAAATTTACCTTAAAAACTTAAAAATAATATTAAATATATTTTATTATAAAATTAAAAATGATACAAAATTCACAACAATAATACATTAAAAAAAATTACATTTTCATAGGAATATAATTATAATAAGGATTTGATTGGTTGGGATCCATTTGATAAATAAATAAGATTGGAAATTGAAAGAAAAAAAATTTAGAAGTAAAATTGTGTGTAAAAAAAATTAGAATTTCTATAGAATTTATAGAAGGTAAAAAATGATAATATGATCGTTACTATTTTCAAATATCATATCCTTGTTGGAATATTTGGAATATTTTATTAATATTAAATAATATTATAATAGGTTTCACATAGTTAACGTTAACTATATAGATAATGGAAACTAAATTTTAGTTCATTTGGATGCCATGTCAGCTCTCCTATAATGCAAATTCCTTATTACTAACGTAAGCTATAAAGAATTTTGGTTTAACAACCTTGCGTTAAAGTTGCTCTAAGATAACATATCATCAAAACTTAAGGCCAGATGTAGAGTCACTCTTGCTCTTACAAAGTTCTCTTTTCACAATAAATAAATAAATAAAATTTGGTCAAAGAGAAAAATTGATGTATTTGATTAAAAATTTAAATCAAATACATTAATTTTTCATTTAATTTTTAATTATATTCTATTATAGGAAAACATATTAATAAAATGATATAAAATATATATAAGTTCTCCCATTTTTAATTTTAACTATTTCCTAACTTTTTACAAATTTATTCCAAAACAGATCATATTTATTGTATTTTTAATTATATTATTTAATAAATATTAAACACTTTACTCTCAATTCTTTATTAAAATATATTTTTCCCGTCTCAAAATAATAAAAAAATTATTTGTTAATAAAATCATTATTTCATTTTTTATATTATTTTAATCAATATAAAAATATTAAATATGACATTTATTTTAAAACCGAATGAGTATTATTATATTTTTTTATTTATAAAAGAAAGAATATAGATAAGGAAGAAAGAACTTGTATTGTATATCTGATAGAGTTATTGTGTGATAAACGCATAGACCCACCAACAGAAACCAAGGATGAAGTCAATAATCGAGCATGTAGTTTTGTTCAAGATCAAAGAAGAAGCTTCACAATCCCAGATTCATTCCTTCGAAGAACAAGTCAATTCCCTCGTCTCTCTGGAACAACCACTTCACCTCACTATGGGTCCATTAACCGCTATCCAATCCTCTTCCATTTCATCTTTCACTTTCACTCACATACTCCATATCCGGTTCAGCTCCAAGGAAGATCTCCACGCCTATGCGGTTCACCCAACCCACGTATCAGTCGTCAACGATAACAAGTCTCTGGTGGTTGATAAGATGGCTCTTGATTGGGTCACGGAGGTTCACGGCGACGATTTGGTTTTACCGGTGGAGTCGGCTTTGAGAGTTGTGTTCTTCAAGTTGAAGGAGGGTTTGGGGGAAGAGGGTAAAGAGGAGGTGTTGAAGGGTGTAAATGGAATTCAACGTGGGAAAGCTGTGCAGTTTACGTGTGGTGAGAATTTCTCTGATGGTAGATCTAAAGGGTTTTCTATTGGTTCTCTTGCGGTTTTTCCGGGGGTAAGCGAATTGAAGGAGGTTGATTCTGATGAGGAGTTTCGGAAATATGATGAGATTAAGGAGAATCTGGATACTGTCTTGGTTCTTGATTATGTGGGACACGGCCAAACAGCATCTTAAGGTTTTTATCTTTTTATTTTTTTATTTTTATTGTCATGTTCTTTCTGAGTTTCTGCAATCAAAGGTGAAGTAATACTTGTCACTTCAAATTCAAATAGATGGTTTAAGTTTTTCAATGTGCTTACCTCAACTGATTTTCATATTTCCAGTCTTTACTATTGTATGTTGGATAAGATTTAGGGAATGATAAAGTTATCTTATGGAATATTATATGAAGTAATCACTATCTATAACAAAATATGAGTTTATAAACTTGCCATTATAGAGTTAATATTCGACCCTTCGGTTTTTTTAAATAATTTATATAGAGTTAATATTTTTGCTAAAATAAATTTTTTTAATAAAAAATTTAATTTAAATAATTATTTTAAATATTTTATTATATTGTTTAAAAAAATTTAGATATCAAAATTATAAAAAGAAAATTACTTAATTTTAAAACTATTTCAAATAACTCTTCATAAAAATTATTTTTGAAATTTCATAAAAATCATTTTTGAAATACAACTTTTTAAAAAAAAAATTATAATTTTGACTATGTTTTAATTTTCAATAATATAAATTTATGTTATAAAATGTCAAAATTAATTTTTTAATTTGTAAAAAATGAATTTGTAGCATAATATCTTGCCAGAATCATGGTAAATCAGTGCAATTAATGCAATTCCACCTTAATGCTAAAACATGTACTATATGACAAATCCACCGAAACCAAACTCCTAGGCAGTGATTTACCGTCAAGAAACAGGTGAGAGTTGTAATTGGAGTATCTTTTGCATGATAAAATAAGGAAATGATGAATCATTAAAATATGGGATATATTTTCTCCACTTTTTTTATAAATTATATGTCTTTTGACATGACAGAATGATATTATAAACATAATAATACAATGATGTCTACATTTTATTAAGTAGATCATGCAATTGTAGTGTTGTTCATTTGTTTTAAAACAAGCAGATTAACATATACATGCCTTTCAAGCTGGATTGCCTGCAAAAGTCTTGCTGATATTTTAAGGTTTGCAAGACATGTTGATTTTGCACTTAAGTTTTGTTCATAACTATAATATTATTCATACGTTGGATATTTTGGATAAGTTTTTTTTAATTGCAATGCAATTCATTTTTCTTTGAATTACTATTTCATTGGTGCAATGATTTTTATATATATCAAAAAAAATTATCTCTATTATAACACGTTAGTTTTACCCGTGCGGGAGCACAGATATTCTACTAGTTTAGATATCAAAATTATATTAAAAAAAATCACTTAATTTTAAAATTATTTCAAATAACTCTTCATAAAAATCATTTTTGAAATACAACGTTTTTTAAAAAAATTATAATTTTGACTATGTTTTAATCTTCAATAATATATGTTTATGTTATAAAATGTCAAAATTAATTTTTTTATTTGTAAAAAATGAATTTGAAAAAACTTTAAATATTTTAAAAAATATTTTTATAAAAATCATTTTTATAAAAAAAAAAGTTTAAATGTAAAAATACAAGCCAATTATATCTTTGTATAGGATGAGAGAAACTAAGTAGATTGAAATTAATAAAAGTATATCTTATATTATTATTGTTTTTCTTCTTTATTAAAATTTTAGAAAAGTTTTTTTTATAAAGGCTGGAAATTATTAAAAGAAGAAAGGAAAAAGTGGGGGACATCAACCAAAACTCATTCAAACACCATCGAAGTGAAAGTTGGACGAATCCAACTTCTCGTGATTTAACATGGGCAGTAAAAAACAGGGAGACAAATTTCAAGTTAAATGAGGAACAAAAGCGGTAGTTTTAAAAGCAAGAAGATCCCACACAATGTTTACCCTCCATATAATATATGAGAGGTGCGAAAATCCATCATACTAACCTTGACTAAAACATTTTTCCATCTAGAAAGAATGTTCTAAGGGACAAACTTCAAACTCTTCAGGGCAAGGATAACCAACCTAGAGTCTGTTTCCAACCAAATTAAGTAGCATAATCAATAGTTGTTATCACTACAAGCAACTCCACATGAAGGGAAGAACAACCTTCAACCATCTTAGAAAATCCAAAGATGACTTCACTAAAATTATTGTGGGACAACCCTCACACAAAGCCATTGGTCTATCAATCCAGCTACTATTAAAAGACCTATTCATGTTACATTTTAACAGACCTCTATCAAAAGGAATCCATACCACTTATATTGGATTTCAATAATGAACCTCCCTTAATAATGCACAAGAAGATGAAGAAAATGAAGAATGTTAGGGAGTTCGAGATAGTAAAAAGCATCAATGAGACTAATGTTTCATGACCACAAGAGAGGGAGGCACCACATCTCAACCCAAAACCTTAAGGTGTTAGGTAAATGGGTCATCTATCTTATAAATCCAACATTACACTCATTCATAGATAATGTGAGACTTTAACCACTCACACTTGTACCCAACATTCTCCTCCGTAAGAGTGAGTCCCCCACACCCTATAACAGGATCCAACACCAGATCCAGCTCCCCCCCCCCCCCCCCCCTCCAACAAGTCGAACCACGACTCTAATACCACTGTTAGGGTCAATTTGGAGGATCAACATGATGTATCATTTTTACTTTGGGGGCTCCTAGACTCCCTAACAAAAGGAAAGTTGCAGAGAGAGAGAGAGAGAGAGAGAGAGAGAGAGAGAGAGAGAGAGAGAGAGAGAGAGAGAGAGAGAGAGAGAGAGAGAGAGAGAGAGAGAGAGAGAGAGAGAGAGAGAGAGAGAGAGAGAGAGAGAGAGAGAGAGAGAGAGAGAATGAAACAATTTTTTCTAACTAACTTTCTCAATTCACAAATATGTTAAATTATGTTACAAATGCAAGTAAAATTGGGTTTATATAATGACCCAAATTCAAATCCAAACTAAATGAAAACTCAAATTCATATGCAAATGTAAATGTAAATACAAATAAAACTAACTTGAGATGGATTACATTTAACACCATCCCTTAATTCATGTTCAAGTTTAAAAATCTTCAACACCAATTACATCCCTCAAATTGATTATGTGTTCAGTTTTGATTGCCTTGGTATGCTCATTTACATTTAGCTTATGAGTACTGACATGAACAACCTTAAGTGTGCAGAAAATGGTACTTGGTATTAATGTGCTTACTTCTTCCATGTAGCTCTAGATTCTTAGCAAGACTTATGGAAAATTTATTGTCAATCATCAGTTTGACTGGTTTGCTCACCTTGAACTTCAATTCCTATAGTAAATTCATTAGCTAAACAACCTGACAAGTTGACAAAGCACCAACTACGTATTCAACTTTACAGGTTAATAATGCAACCACCGATTTTTTCTTGGAGCAATAAGAAATAGGAGCTCTTAGATTCATGAAAAAATATCCTATAGTACTCCTTATATCCTCTCTGTCCACACATCAGTCAGAGTCTGACTATCATATCATCTAAGCATCATCTGACACTCCAGATGGAAACAAAATTCCATGCCTCATAGTCCCCTTTACATACCTCAGAATCGTGACTGCAGTTTGGTAATGTGACCACTTTGGTTTACTCATAAACATATTAACCATTCCAACTGCATAACATATGCCAAGCCTGATGTTACACTGATATCTTAGACATCCAACCAACAATTTAAAGGTTGTAACATTTACATCCTCACCATCATCAGCAGAGTCTAACTTATGATTTCTCTCAGTGGATGTTATTGGTGACTTACAACTCAACAGCTTAAATCTCTTTAGCAACCCAAGTTCATACTTCAGTTGGTGCATAATAATTCCCTTCTCAGAATGCAAAATCTTCATCCCTAGAAAATATACCATATTTCCAAGGCTATCATATCAAATGCATTCACCAGCACCTTCATGAACTTATTCATCTCAAAAGTACAACTCCTAGTCAGGAGTATGACATCTACATAAAGACACATCAAAATCACACTACCTTAAAAAGTATGTTGCACATACACACCATCTTGCATTTCACATTTTTTGAATCCTAGATACTTGAAAAACGAATTATCATCTTCAGGAGTTTGTTTCAACCCATACAAGGCTTTATGCATTTAGTACACCATCCATTCTTTATTTTCTTTCACAAATCTAGGAGGTTGTAACACATAAACTTCTTCTTGAAATGGACCATTCATAAAATCTAAATTTACATCTAAATGTATCAGAGCCCAATTCCTATTTGTAGTTATATCAATAACCAACCTTATGGTTTCATATCTAGTAACAGGTGCAAACACTTCAAAGTAGTCTAAACCATACTTTTGTACAAATCCTCTAGCTACTAACCATTCCTTATGCTTGGAAACCGAACCATCTAGCCTCAACTTTATCTTAAAAACCCATTTCACATTGATGGCTTTCTTGTTCTAAGGTAGAACGCGCAGTTTCCATGTCTTGTTTCTTTCAATGGCCTCAAGTATAAGACCTCACCCATAGCTTTCATCTTCGGGAATCAAATTGATTCTCTTTCTCCTTCGACCCTCCATAACCTTCAATACGTACCACTCCACAAATCCCTCCTTCCGCCTCAACCCAAATCACTCAAGACTCTCCATAAACCCAAATTAGAAGGAAGAAGAGAAATTGAAATGGAATCAAGAAACCCAAAACAAGAAATCTCAATTGAATCGGAACAAGAAAGAGTTTTGAGTTGAAATAAACCTTTTGTGACGAAAACGAGTTATGAAAGGAGATTGAGAGAAACAAATTGATTCGTGCTAGAAGGTTGGATGGATTGACCGTGTTGCTTTTGCTTCCGGTCTGAATTTTTATTTCCTTGGATTTTGGTTGATTCTGTAGCCATAACCATGTTGTGTGTGTGGGTATTCAATTGAAGTTGGTGTTAATGCTTTAATCGTGACTTTCCCTTTTCTTTCTTTGTTTTTGGTTTTCTTGATCTGTTTTTGTTTAAACAAGTGATAGGTTGTTGTGTTGTGTTGTTGGGCTCAGCCCACTTTGTTTCACACCATACACCCCTACTTAT